ATTCATTATAAAAAATTGCATTCATTAAATAAAAAAAGAATAAATTCTATAATTGATCCTTTATAATAGGGGAGTTTCCCTAATTAGTCCCCTATTATCAAATATTATCCAAGTGATCCTTCTTTTATGGGTATCTTTCCACAAATAGTTCTTTTTTTGATCTTCTATCATGTTGGTGTTAATTTGAGAGCTAAAAGTGTAATTTCACAATGACAATATATCTTTTTTGTCATACACAATTTCAAAGGTTGTTCCGTTTGCGTCGTTTGTGAGTTACAGTCACTTTCTACTACAACCATAGTCTACAAATGTGGTCTTTCGTCAGAACCCTAGCCCACAATCATAGTCATTATTTTTGTGTTATCCGCTTAACCAATATCAGAACACGTCACTAAACATAATGTTGATGTCAAATTATACTTCTAGCCTTTAAATTAACACCAACATGACAGAAGATCAAAAAAAGACCATTTGTGGAAAGATACCCTTAAAAAAGGACTACATGGTTAATATTTGATAATAGAGGACTAAATATGGAAATCCCCATATTATAAAGGACCAATTATGGAATTTACTCATAAAAAAATTACATTCATTAAATAAAAAAATTACATTCATTCAAAAAACTACATTCATTAAATAAAAAAATTATATTCATTAAATAAAAAATTAAATTTATGAAAAAATAAAAAAATAGTTGAATAATAATTTTTTAAAAAAAGATGATAGAGAAATTTGTATTTGTGTTGAATTTTTTAAAAAAATTAATTTAATTTATAGAGAAGAAAAGAGGAAAAAAGAAGGAGAAAAAACGAAGAAAGAGGCGTTATCACGCCTTTAATTTGCGTCAAAAGTATGACGCGGGAATTTTAACGCCCCAATAACGGGGGAGGGGGGCGTGGGCGTCAAAATCAGTTTAACGTGGTAGGGCGTTACGCCCATTACCACTGCCCTAAAGTCTACTTGTGTATTGATATCTTTTATGATCTCAATATATAAAATCTATAAAAGAAATATGGCCCTTATGATCATGTATGAATTTGGCTTTGATTATATATACAAGATTGATTTATCAAAATAGTATTAAAACATGAAAAAATTCGCACCAATACTCTAAGATTTACACAATTAAAAATTATTCATTGATTCTCTTTTACACTTCAATATTTTGAGAAATCTAAATATTAGTGCATTGATATCATAAAATAGTTGGACACATTTTATAGACCTTATTAGTGCATTGATATCGATCATACCACATAGTCTGAGATTCATTCTTATTTTATGGACCTAATTATTGCATTGATATTATAAAAGATTAGGACATTTTGCAAATCTGGAAAAAGATCTACAGAAGAACAACTCTCCAAAAATATATAAAAAAAAGGATGCGCCCCATCCCCGAGGGCCCCTCAGACCCGAGCGGGCGGTCACTGAGAAGAGGTAAATTGGACTTTAATCGCAGATTGGTGGCAAAGAGTTGAGCTAACACCTGGTACTTGCATAGGCCATATGCTTAACATAGTTGCCTCCCAGCGCAGTTGTCAGGAATCGAACTCGGATCTTACCCCCTTGGCACCCCTTTCCTTGCCAACTACGCAACACCCACCGACAACTCTCTAAAAAAATATATCTTTTGGGGGAGGTCGCCGCTCTCTCTTGCTCGAAGGTTGAGGTTTCGAACGTTTAAGAACGATATTTACTATTATCGTTAATATTTTGAATTACTTTTTGATAGTACAGTTTCATTTTGAAAATGTTAAAAACAAATATTCTACATTATTAGATAACCTTTTCTAAATGATAAAGTTAAACACTAAAATTATTGTGAAACAGACACTAAAATTATTCTGGTACAACCGAAAACTAGACCGAGGGAAGAGAGGTGCGCCGATGTCTATTTCCTCGAAGTAGTAACCTTGGAAGTCAATAGCTGGAAATTCCCGTCAGAGTACTAGAACAACGGCAACGGAAGGAGTGACGTGGTGCAATGGGTGAAATCTAGTGATTGCCGAGGGAAGAGAAGCCAAGGTGTTGGATGCGGATACTGCGGGAGACTCGTCGAATCAGATGCGGTGACTTCTCCACATCGACGCGGCTTGCGCTGAGAGTAATCCAGATCGGCAGTTGGATATGGGAGAAACGATTAGGATGATAGAGGACATACATGAAGGAGTCGGAGGGTCCACACAGGATGTGAGATTGATGGATTTATTTTTTCCAAATCTGAAGATAATGAACAGTACGCCACTTGAGAATGAACACTGCGTTCCTTGAGATTTGAGAATGAGCATTACTTTGTTTGAGAATGAACATTATGTTATTCGTAAATGAATATTTTAATCGTATTAAATAAATTTGTAGTGAAAATGAGTACTACGTTATTTCATAAAAAGTAGTACGTTTTTTCAAAATGAGTGCTACGTTATTTCAAAATGAGCACTTATATTTTTGCGAGAAGGTGTACAACATTTCAAAATGAATACTACTTGATTGTACTTACTTCTGGTACAACTGGTTATACCATATACGGACTCAACACTAATATATAAACTTTGGCCAATTTATCGAGTACACGTAAATAAACCATAAATAAAAGGGGGAGAAAATACAAAGAAGTTCGGACTTGGAAAAAGACATAAGAAACTGACGGTCTAAAGTGAAGAACAGAGACAAGATATTGTCACGCAGGAGAACAAATTGTTTCATTTCTTTTTTTTTCTCTCTAAATTATTACTATTATTATTTTTGTTCTTGTTATTATGATAATATGTATGCTAATGATAATAATAATAATACTCCCTAGGGGTGTTCATGTTTAGGTCCGGACCGGAAAAACTGACCGAACCGGACCGATAGGTCCAGACCGAACCCGGACCGAATGGATTTCGGGTCAGTCTTCGGTCCAGATTATTGGAAATATTGGGTTTCGGTCCGGTCCGGTTCATACCCGATTTCTATTTGGTCCGGACCTAATGGACCGACATTACCCATTTATTCCATATTTAAACTTGAAGTCAAGGCCTATAACTTGGCCCATTTAATGTTTTTAAAGGGCCTACCTCTCCCAATCATATCTCCGTCCCAAATCCCAATCTATTATTTCAACCTCTCTGTCCCAATCTGCCAAACGAAACTTCTTCCAGATGACCAGATCCGATCGATCGCTGCAGCTTTGTTTGCCTCTCCATCATCTTCTTCGCACCAATTTGCGATTCTCACATCAAATCTATTCCAATCTGTGATTTGCACTAATCTCCAAGTTAGAACCTGTTTTCCTTTTTTCATAGAGAAGAATTTCAAGAGAGGGAAGAAGACATCTTTGATGAGAGCAGAGAACATCAAGAGAGAGAGAGAAACCTCTGAATTTGATTTCTCGCGACTAATTACCATAGTTTATTATCAATTCAGTACTAAATCTGGTTTAATGTTCAAATTCTTCTACCCACACGGACGACACAGTGCTACGAATTTAACTCAGATTAGTTTTTTGTTTTTTTTGTTTTTTCGGTCTTCTCGGTCCTAGCCGATTCGGTCTAAGTTATTTCGGTCCGGTCCGGTATTAAACCGACTAGTTATAGGTCCGGTCTTCAGTCCAAGTTTTTTTCCATTTCGGTCTTCGATCTGGTCCGGTTTAGTCCGGTCCGGTCCAGTTCTGGACCGATGAATAGCCCTAAATTACTCCCCGTTTTAAGACAGAGGGAGTAATAATAATAATATTCATTGTCATCATTAATATTATTCTCATATTGTTCAATGTCCTTAGTTTATTCATGAAACAAATACATGCACCGTATATCATCTCGGAATATAAGCTCTATAGTCTATTTGATTGGGGAAATTTTTTTCTAAAAAAATTTAATTCCAGTTTCATACTCTGTATATTACGCTTGATAATATAAGTGTTAAGAAATTATTGTTGAATTTTTTTTCAAAAGAGGAAAAATAAAAATCGTTCACTTTGGATGAAATTTCATTTTCCTACTTATTCCGATGGTAAGGCCAATGGAAACGGGCATGACGCGCAGAGGCGCTAAGGACCTTTTGACGCAGGGGGCGTTAAACATCGTCCCTCTCCCTGTTATGGCCCGTTAAAGTTGTTGCGTCAAACTTTTGACGCAACTTGAAGACTGAAATGGCCGTTGGAACCCCCTCCCCACACAACAGCTATAATGCCTGCCTGCTATACAATTTTTTTTAAAAAAATCTTTTTCTCCCTCTTTCTTCCTCTAGAAATTCAATCAATTCTTTTTAAAATTCAACACAAATATAAATCTCTCTCTATCTATAATCTTTCTTTAAAAAATTGTTATTCAAGTATTTTATTTATTTTTATCATGAATCCCTCTGGTTCTTCTCTGGATGGTCTCGAGCCAAACACATACGCGATGTGGCTCTTCCGGACGTACGAGAATAATCTGTTATTGTTCGAAGCGCAAACCTCGGTGAACCTCGAGGACCGGAGTCGGTTTTGGAGACTCAGCCGGAACCAAGTGCACCAACCGAAACAAAAAAAAGTGCACGCCAGAAGAGTCACAAAGCGAAGGGCGACAAGCCGATGTCTTTCTTTAACACTGTATTGAAAGTTAATGTAACACTGCAACAATGAGGATGCAAATTGTGATGCAAGTGTGGGTGAAAATGGCAGAGAGTGGTGATGTCGGTGGTGGCGGTGAAAAATCAACAGCGGCAATGGTGGATTTTGACACCAGTGACATAGCGGCGACGAAACAGGGCTTGGCGGTGGCAGAGATTAAAGTGATAGTGGCAATGACACAGTTTTAATTTAAAACAGATACCGGAACGGAGGGAAACTGTTTCGGGTCCGGTTCTTAAGTTTTGGTACTAGAACCGCAATAGGTTTATTTTTTATTGTGTTTTTATTTTCTTATGCTTATTTTTAATTTTAAAGTCAATTATATACGGACTAATTTTTTTTCCCAAAAATTTTATAAAAAGAAAAATTCGAAACTGAAACCGCCCCTCAAATGCTTTCACACGACAATCCTATTGATTTTTGTTTTTTACAATTTCGAACACAGCCGTAGCTCAAATCTGTTGTAGAGTGACTATTAACATGGCAACCGTAGCTCTCTCCCACCTTCCGCCCTCCTCCGCCGTACGACTCTGTTCCACTACTAAAACCTCCCCTTTTGCATCGCGCAATTGTTCTGTCAAATGCTCTTCGCATCCATCATTAGGTATTTGTTGTAATTTTATTTGTTTTGATTTTGTGATCGATCGATGATGCATTGATGTTCGATCGATCTGATTTCGCTGTGCAGCCGACCAATCTTTGCAGTTCAAGGAAGCTGCCCGGCAGGGGAATTTGATTCCGCTCTACAGGTCGATTTTCTCCGATCACCTGACGCCGGTGCTGGCGTACAGGTGTTTGGTGAAGGAAGATGACAGGGAAGCTCCAAGCTTTTTGTTTGAGTCTGTCGAGAGGGGGAAAATTACAAGCATTGTAAGCTTCCGAGTGCCGTCTCAATCTCCATTTTCCTGAAAAATGTAGAAATTTGTGATATAAAAAGCCTTGTGGGAGAAAGTTATGTTTTTGTTCAAATTTTCGTGTGTCGTAGGGGCGGTATAGTGTCATTGGTGCTCAGCCAACTATGGAGATTGTTGCAAGAGAAAACCTGGTCACAATTATGGACCACCATGAAGGGAAAAAGACAGAGATGTTTGAAGAGGATCCTATGGTCATTCCTCGTAGGATTATGGATAAGTGGACTCCCCAGTGTCTTGATGAGCTTCCTGATGCATTTACGGGTACTTCGATGTTTATTTCTTTGATAGGTTTTGTGTTTTTATATCATCTATGTCAGCAAGAATACTTGGAGAGATTATTATAATTTGGTGAACATATAAATATTGCGTTTTCACTTACACTGAATTGAACCATTGCAGTTACATAAGATGTTTGTTGCTTTTATTGAGAATCACTACACATTCTGCGCTTTGTAGTCACTGATGTCACATTCTTTCCCTAACAGGTGGTTGGGTTGGCTACTTTTCCTACGATACGGTGCGCTTTGTTGAGAAGAAGAAATTGCCATTCTCAAATAGCCCTTTGGATGATCGGCTCCTCCCTGATCTTCACATTGGACTCTATGATGATGTTGTTGTATTTGATCATGTGGAAAAGGTTATATCATTTCCACAAACGAAACTACTCCGTACTTTTTACAATTCTCTGTGTTATTTGTAAGATGAACCATTATACATAGTCTTACCAAATTGCTATATTTCTCTTAGTTTAGAATAGAATTATTTTAATATGAAACTTGCTTCTTAAGTCCTAAGTACTGAAGAGTGAAGACTATTAGCTTTTGTTGGTTTGTTCCATCTTAAGTTTTGTGATATTTAAATTTGTATTAAAGTCATGTTTTTAAGTAACAAAGTTTCCTCGAGTGCATTTGTATGGAAGAACTGAGTCATTTTCACTAAATACCAGAAAGCATGCGTAATACACTGGGTGCAATTAGACCGCTTTGCATCGGTTGATGAGGCGTTTAATGATGGCATGATTCGCTTAGAAGCATTGTTGTCGAGAGTGCTCAACATAGTACCGTAAGATAGATATATTGTTTTCTAAAGGCAATTCAATATCTTTCACATTATTTTCTTCAATGATAATCAGTACACTTGACAAATTTTAAACTGGCAGCCCTAAATTAGCTGCAGGATCAATAAAATTACATACAAATCTGTTTGGTTCAGCACTGAAGAAGTCAACGATGACTAGTGAAGAGTATCAGGAAGCTGTTCTGAAAGCTAAAGAACACATCCTAGCAGGGGATATTTTCCAAATAGTTCTCAGTCAACGGTTTGAAAGGCGAACGTTTGCAGATCCATTTGAGATATACAGGGCATTGAGAGTTGTTAATCCAAGTCCATATATGACTTATCTGCAGGTTTCTATCTTTATTTGGCAAAGCAAATACCGTCTCTTGAGCCTAATTACAACAACAACAACAACCACAAAAAGAACATTTCACTTTAAAGTTGTAATTGTGTTTTCTCAGGCTAGGGGGTGTATACTTGTTGCTTCAAGTCCCGAGATTCTTACCAGAGTTAAGAAGGTAAACAATCTAAATTACCAGTGAAAAAAAACCCCTCATTTGCTGTTTGAGTGGGATATTACAGGAGCCTCCATTTAGATTTACATTTAAACTCTTAAGCTGCATATTTCATAGATAGTTTTCTTTCCTCTATGGCAGCTCACTTTCCTAACCTTACATTACCATTGTTGTTTAGGGAAAAATCACTAATAGGCCGTTAGCAGGGACTATTAGGAGAGGGAAGACACCTAAAGAGGACTACATGCTTGAAAATCAACTTCTACATGACCCCAAACAATGTGCAGAGCACATCATGCTGGTTGACTTGGGAAGAAATGATGTGGGAAAGGTTTTGCTCTCTATAAGCGTGATCTCATTCATTCAATATCGAGAAACATCAGTGCGATGATGTTCTAATTGGCATTTTTTGTGATTGATTTATGTCGAATTAATACCCCTATAAATTTCCCATGGAGTAGATAAAAATTTCAAATTAAACATCCGTTGCTTTTTATTTTATATATGAAGTTTTGGGAAGTAAATGTATCAAGGGTCTAATGGAAACAGCCTCTCTGTTATACAGGGTATGATTGCTTACATCTTGACCCCCAGACCCGAACTTAGTTGGGATTATACTGCTTTTGTTGTTTTTGTTATTTTCAATTGTGCATATGCATACTCATGATATTATCTTTATAATCATCTCTAAATTTCCATCTTCAAAGTTAAAACGTGATTAATACTCCCCCCCCCATCCCAAAAGAAAGTACACAGAGTAACAGTTTTTACGCAGGGAATTTCATGAACATAGAAAAGTGTTGAAAAATGAGTCAGCAGGAAAGTAAAAGAGTTTGAAGTTTATTTTAAGACAACACAAAAAAGAAAGTGTCACTTTTATATAGGGACCAATGGAGTATCACTGAAACCTCATAGTTTCCATTAGAACATACAGTTCTCTTTTTTGAGTCGTGCAGTTAGTAGAAGATGGTGGAGCTTTTAGGGTGATCTGGATTCCTTAAGTGTGTCTTCATTTGGCTTCTATCCACACTACTTAGTTCAATTTTCATCTTCATAAAAGTTGAATTCTTTGACATTAAGACCTCATTTATCCTTAATTGGGGGTTACCAGGGTCATTAGTTGAAGTTCTATAGTGTGTGTGTGTTTTTCTTGTGTGGATTCAAATGTAGAGTGTGTCAGTGTGTCACATACACGTCTTCCCTTTGTTGTTATACTTTCACTGGTACACCTTCTCTCTGCAGGTTTCTAAATTTGGTTCGGTGGAAGTCGAGAAACTCATGAACATTGAGCGATATTCTCATGTTATGCACATTAGTTCCACGGTTAGTTCTTTCTGTCAATTTTTGTAAGAATTTACCTGATAAACCAGTGATTAGTGAATGTGAGTCTTTTAAAGTTGAAATATGTGAGAACGATTTTTTGTGTAAGAACTGGTACGATACTACGATGCATGGAAGTAATATCCAAATACGAAGTAGGAACAAGCAGAACAACTTGCATTAACCTCAGAAATAGTCAGTATACACCGATCAAAGAAACAAAATGTTAGAGCTCGGGCAGTCGGTTCTGCATATTTCCCTTCATCTCTCTCTTTTTAGAGCATGTGTTTATGCAGAATGATATATGAGTGATGTTGGAACATAGTCTGTATATAAAAGTGGAATCACATCTCTTATTGTTAATTTTGATTTGCTGCCAATTCGCAGGTTACTGGAGAGCTCCTTGACCGTTCAAGCAGTTGGGATGCTTTGCGTGCTGCATTGCCCGTCGGAACTGTCAGTGGCGCCCCAAAGGTTTTTCAATATCTTTATTCATATTCGATTTATTTGATGTGCTTCATGGTCTCCTTAGTGGTCATTGATCTTAGTGTAATTATGTGATGGGATCAGTTTTGTATTTTGAAAACTTTACGATGAACTCCATTTGTAAAAAGTGTCATGCTTCTACTCACATCACGGATGACATCAAGGTTGACACTGTCAAGGCTTCTCACATGATTGTAATCGTCCGTGGCAGTGTTAACCTTAGTGTCTTCTTTTGGGTTAAAAGTAGAGTACTACATTCGCCCATTGCTGAAACCTCTGTGGGTGTCTGTGGGGGTGGGTGAACAGGTGAAGGCCATGGAACTGATAGATGAGCTTGAAGCGACGAGGCGCGGACCCTACGGTGGTGGATTTGGGGGGATTTCCTTTTCAGGGGATATGGACATAGCCCTGGCTTTGAGGACCATTGTTTTTCCAACTGGAGGGCATCATGACCTAATGTACTCCTACAAGGACGTAAACAGACGAAGAGAGTGGGTCGCCCACATTCAAGCTGGGGCAGGTGTTGTGGCTGATAGTGACCCCGCCGATGAGCAGAGGGAGTGTGAGAATAAGGCTGCCGCTCTCGCCCGATCCATCGATCTTGCTGAGTCATCATTCATTCCCTAGAGCACAGGATGTTCTGAAAACTGCATGGTGAGGTTTTTTGTTTGTTGTTCATCATCCCCATTTCTCTCATTGTGGTTTTTTTGACAAACACATACAGAGTAGCATTTTATTTTATGTTGAAATATAACAATAGCGTTATGTTGTCACATCAGCGGTTAGCCCCCCACCCCCACCCCACACACACAGAATGAACCACATCGACATCATCTACTACATCAATGATCTATTTAATGGTAAGCTCTTCTCATGTCTTGGAGTATCAATATTGTGATATATGAGTGATATACGTACACAACAACATTCGGGACACGTCTTGCCACACCCCTTTTACAGTAAAAGTTTTACATCCGAAAGGGGTGTAGCACACAGATCTCGGGTGATGTTTCCGTATCAATTTTAAGATATTATTATTATTATTATTATTATTATTATTATTATTATTATTATTATTATTATTATTATTATTATTATTATTATTATTATTATTATTCATGTTTCTATGCCTAGCGGTTGGTGGCTTTCTAACGTCACACACCAAAAGAAGGCCAAACAAATAAAATACCGTACTTGAAAAGAATCTAACACCAAAACCCCGCCTAAAATTTGTGCAAAAGATGAATCAAATATTCTCGAGGAAGAGTGAATCTATTGAAAAATTAACGAGTCACCTTTGAGATCATGCTATTTCTTTCCACAAAACTTTACCCGTTAACCCTCACAAAATTTAAAAAAAAAAACTGTTACGGAGTAAAAAAATTAAAAAAAGCATATGATCAAAATTTGTTTAGAGAAAAATTTCGTCAACCACAAGCTCATTACTTTGTCCCAAATTGGATTGACTATTGCAATTTAACTAGCGCTAATCTTAATTTATTGGATAATTAGTGTTAATTACAAAATAAAATTTGTACATTAACTACAAAAAATTTGAAAAAATAAGAAGTGAAATAGCTACGGAGTATTATCTTAACAAATGAATAACAAACAAACTAGAAAAAAGTTGAATCAACGAATGCATAGAAGTGCAAAGTGTTTTTAAGACCGCCAAGAAGAGAGAATGCATAGAAGTTTTGAACTAACTTGGGATAGACCAAATGTATACCAAGTCAAAAATAAGTGCACGCGGACATTGAGTGTTTGTGTGTGTCTATTTTTGTCTTGGTGTACGTTTGGTGTACCCCAAGTAAGAATCTCCAAGCACTCTATTTCACGATACATAAGCACGTGGCATTGGTTCGAGAACGTTAGTCATCTAGAAGTAAATGACCCCCCACACCAATATGGAATGTGGGGTACATGAAGAGAAGTTGAGGTACAGTTAGAAAAACATGGTGGTTTTCTCATGTGGAGTAACACTTTTATGTTTCATTTCATGCCCTCTCAAAGGTCAGGGCCCAACCAAAGGGCACACACAAAAACATACATACATAACATACAACTGTTTGTAGTCATCAATCATGATCCATCATTAAGGGCAGACCAGATCAACACACCAATGGTGGGTGGGTGTACTTTGCAAGGGTCACAAGAAAATCAACATCAAGGAAAAATTCACCACTTTACCTCTGTCCCCTAAATGGTCCATAACCAACCACTTAATCGCGTCTTCTTGATCTCTCTCTCCTATCACTGTCTTCCCTTGACCTCCGATCATTCTCGTGCTTCCTTGATCTCGAATCGTGATCGTGGTGCCTCCTTGTTTTCTCATACATCCTGTCACGATCTCTCGGTGACCTTGGTTCGCCATAGTAGTCTTCCTTGTCAATTTCCTTTTCTTTTAGCTTTGGTTGCCTCTTCTCAACACCTCCACTGTGCCTATCTACTGAATCTACTCTTTTATGCTCCTTGTGCACGTCACTATGGTTTTCATGCCCCCATTTCGAACGTCTATCTTCTTCACGTCCCCAACCCGTGTTTGCAGCTCTCTGCAGACACACATTAGAACAACATTTTTTTTCATTCTTAACTTTTTTAACCTTCTAATGAATTACTCAATGAATAAATTTAATGTTTGCCATTTTGGTCAGTCGTAGATAACGTTCACTCTATACTTTTATCATCGTTCTTTCATTTTTCCTTGTGGTTGTTGTTGTTTCTCTCCCTTCTAAACAAATTTTAACTGAAGTTTCTAGTTTCTACATTATTCAAAACCTTGCAAAGTCAAAAGGGTAGAGGAAAAGGGACGCAGGAAGTATACAATTATACAATATGACATTACAAATTCTTCAAAAATGCAATGACAACTCGAGTCATACACTAAGTACAACAAAATAAAATTCAATGTCAATTTATTAAATAGATGTGAAGTCATGTGAAGTCAGACTTACTTGTTCATCATGAGAAAACTTGCATCCATCTCCCCTGTTGCATTCTCCCTTTTGAAAGGCACGGCACACACCCCTTTCTTCTCTGTTCTTCCTTGCCGTCTCCTCATCCTCTTCCTCTTTCTTCTTATAGTTACTAGCGTGGTCCACTCTTATAATTCGTCCAAGAATTTGCGCACCGTTCAGATTATCTGTTTATGCAATGAAAGTGAAGATCACGATTAATAAATCGAACTACCACATTCGCTTATTTCAGGAGTATTGTATGACAGATAGGTGTCACAGTAAAATAGTGAGATATATCATATAAAATCTGCCTATTAAGCAACTGACCTACAGCAAGATTTGTACTTCTCTGGTCCTCATAAGCAACGAAAGCAAAGCCTTTTGACTTTCCAGTACCCTTATCTCTAACAAGATTCACATCAACTATCTCGCCATATCTAAAATTGCATGATTAGAAAATCAAAATTAGTTTTTCAGATTTTTCAATCCCCAATCGGAAATATATTCCCTCCATCCCATAAAATTCCTTACACTTTCCTTTTTTTGGATGTCCCAACAAATACCTTACACTCACTTTATTCCCTATTTTGGTAATGAATATGTGACTATAATAATTCTCTCCACTAAACAAATTTTAATTTCACATTTTTTACTTTTCAACAACTCTCTTAAACTCCGTGAATAAAAAGTGTCAAGGATTTTATGGGATAGAGAGAGTATATATGAATTGAGTCCAAATAGTAAAATACATACTGAGCAAAAACGGCCAGTAGATCGCCTTCAGTGAGGTCATAGGGGACCCCACCAACAAAAACATAAGCTGATTCTTTGTACTTGGCGTGCCACGAAGCATCTTCGGATAGACCTAATGCGGCTTCCTTTGCATTTATGTTCTGGATACGCTTTACTAATGTTAATGGATTCATTTGAACTCTACCGCTATGCGGGAATTCTGCATCAACTTTTCAAATATTAAAAAGCATGCACTTAATGTAGAACTTAAAACTATACGAAGGCAGCCTAAAGGTTCATCATTCAATGTCATTATTTTAATACGGAGTAACATTATTTGGATGAAACCTGTACTAGTAAAGATCAGTTCCTATGATTGAGTACAAGGAAAACAACATTCACAACACTTTTTATTAAGAAATCTTTAACCATTGTGATCATATATGTCTAGGAAGCCTGAAAGTGGTGAATTGGTAGATTTCTCTTAGGGTCCGTTTGGTACACGGAATTGATGGAATTGGAATTGAATTGGAATTAAAATTTCATGGGATTCAATTCCATAGAATTGAATTCAAATTCATCAATTCCAATTCATTTTTTACACTACCGATTCCAAATCCACATAATTTTTGTGCTACCAAACACAAGAATTGGAATTGAAGTCCTCAATTCCAATTCCATAATTTGAATTCCATGTACCAAACGGGGCCTTAGAATTAAAGACAGGAATTGGGAAGTTCTTTCTTTGTTACTGCTTTGTCGGGAGATGAGAGGGGTCCAGACCCAGTTCATCCATTGTTACCAAATTTGTTCAGTTTTCTAATACAAATAAATATAAATCATCATAAATCATCTGTTATGTCAAATTGTGCTTCTTCTTAATAATTCACATTCAGAACATCAGAGTCTTCTTCCGACAGAATTCACACATGTGACACATTACTACCAATAAAGTACTGAGCTTTATAACTTCCAATGTACAAAATCATTATGTAGTGAACCGAGTCGACTCATCAATCAATCCTGAGTTAGTGAATACAATTACCGGAATACCTGGAGGGTGCGGAGCAGCGGAGGCGTCCGGCGGCGTTCTCTGGATCTTGGCGGTCGGCGCGCGCTCCCTCTCTCTCTCTCTCTCTCGATTTGGCTACTGGCCGCGCTGGGGTTTCTCGCGCGACTTTGGGTCTTTGCCGATTCTGGAAGTAAGAAGGGCCTAGGACGGCTTTGAGTTATTTAGGCTGGGCATGTTATATGTATGAGTAATGCTAGGGGTACACCAAAAGTATACCCCTAGCATTATTCATACATATAACATGCATTATTCATATCTCTAGCATTACTCATGCTAGAGGTACACCAAAAGGTGTACCTCAAATGTACACCACCCTCTTTTCATCCACACATTTTTATTTGATTTTTATTTACTTATTTTTTTTGAATTTTTTTGCCTTTTTTAGTGGACAAGAAGGGGGTGGGGATATTTGGGGTACACCTTTGGTGTACCCCTAGCATTTTTCTATATGTATATATACATATTATACTAAAAAAGGCCCTAAAAATGATGGGCCCGGCCCAAACCTATTAGGCCGACCATGTACAAGTACCAGATGCATGTTTCACTCTTTGACACAAATTCACCATCAAAATTCAATTACTTTGTTTCTCTTGTGAGGGACCCTCGGGATAGAGCTTATCCTTTTTTATTTGTTCGAGACTCTAGTGCATGAGTCCACAATTGAGTAATTCTATTGGTACCTCATATTTGTACTTCATTTTATATCTTAAAAGTTTGCTCTGACATTAAATGTAAGTGCATAAGTCCCAACGTTGCACTTACATTTTATGTCAGGGTAAATCTTTGGAGTATAAAATAGTTATATTATACATCCGGATGTACCTAGAAATAGGTACAACTGGTGTTTAATAGGGGTGAAAGGAAGAAATCGACGATGATGGAGGCATGCCGATTGGAAGTTTGTGCAAATCTGGGATGATCTGCACATCGATGATGATGTGTGAATTTGTTCTTCGCATTTGTATCGATTCTTGGGGTCTTGTGATAAAGTGGTGATGATGAAGATGATGGGGTTTTGCCGGTGATGATTCTGATTCTGCAGAACTGAAGAAGCTGTGATGATGCAGTGATGATGATGGGGTTTTGCCGGTGATGATTCTGCAGAACTGAAGAAGCTGTGATGATGCAGTGATGATGATGGGGTTTTGCCGGTGATGATTCTGCATGGTAAGAATGAGTACTAGTCTATGTGAGAATGAGTACTACTAGGTTTTATTCGTAAATGAATATTGTACAAATGTGTGAAAATGAATACTATATTTTTTCAGAATGAGTAACATGATTTTTCAAAATAAATACTTAAGTTGATACGAGAATGAGTATTACTTTAATTAAGAATGAGTATTATATGGACGTAGAATAGCCCACAACTTCATGTACGGAAGATTTGTCCGGTTAGATATGCGCCACGTGACTCCCGCCATTTAATTAGTCCAGAAGACCAAAGCAACCCGGATAAATTACCGCTTCCTTCCTCGAGAAGCCACAACTCCCAAGGACACTTCCGTCATTGCATTCAAACAAAACTCGGTTTTCAAACTCACTTCCGCACGCGGAGTACTCTGCAATTCTCTGCTCTCCCCAAAATGCCCCCTCAGACCAGAAGGACGCCGTTCCCCAAAGTGGTGGTGGAGCGCGACTCTGATTCCGAACAGAGCACGTCGTCGGAGGAGGAGGAGGAAGAAGAAGACTTGGTACGAGAAACAGGAGTTGAAGACGAAGAAGTTGAAGAGAAGGCAGAAGACGATTCGTCGCTGAAGAAGAATGGGAGACCGCATATTACAATCAGTCTCAAAAAAGTCTGCAAGGTTTGGGCTTATTTTTTAGTAAAATTCCCGTTGGTTAATGATTAATTTGATGTTCTTATTGTTAACTTATTTGGTTGGATTTGTATTGAATTGTAAAATTTTTCAGGTTTGCAAGAGAACTGGCCATGAAGCGGGCTTCAAGGGGGCGACCTACATTGACTGCCCGATGAAGCCATGTTTTCTATGCAAAATGCCCGGTATTCCTGAATCTTCCATTTTATTCTGTTCATTGTTATCAGTTTGGTACGGGTGATTAGGTTTTAGGTTTTAGGTTTGGGTTTTACCAGGAACGAAACTTCTTATTAAGAGGAGTGAAACAAGTTGTATTATTGCAGTATTTGCCATTTTAGGTCATATCATATCTCAAGTGAAGAAGGGAAGAAGAAGTTGTGTTTGGATTGATTATTACAGTTCCATATTTGGAAGTTATTCTTTAATTTGTGAATGTTTCTTAGTGCAATGTGAACTGTAATGCCACATTTCAATTTGATATATTGGTTGCTGTAGTTCCTCACAGTCATTCTATTAAGAAAATATGTTTTTCATTTTTTTTTGTTGAAATTCCTCCTGAAGGGCATACCACAATGTGTTGTCCACATCGAGTGTCAATGGAATTTGGCGTCCTGCCAGCACCGCGTAGAAACAGGGAAAATCCTTTGGAATATTTTTTCCAACGTCAGATTCAACCCCGCACCCATCCTGTAAGCTTTCTCTGGTTTCTCCATTGACAACTGGCCATGGACGCTATTGTTCCTGACTATATTCCTTGGACTCCTTGGAGGAGATGAATGGTCTGTTTGGAACTTGGAAAATGTTAGTGGGGAAAATCTGCTAGAGGGGAAATTTGGAAGGAAAGAAAATTTGAGTCAAAATAAAAGCTTTGCTTTAAACTAAATAAATCAGTTTTAGATCTTTGTGCACACTCTTTATTTATGCATACTCCCTTCATCCCCAAATTAGATTACTAGTAAAACTCTCTTTTTTGTCCATTCCAAAAAATCTCCACACTTTTCTTATTTCCTTTATAAGGAAATCAATATGTGATCCACAACATTTCTTACTCTTCTAAACATTTTAACATTTTTCTAAAACTCCATGAAGTCAAACTATAAATTATTTTTGAGGATCGATGGAGTATAATGTACAAAGTATAAAAACAAAAAAATATAAATGCTTATAATTTTTGTAAATTTTAATCCTATTTCATATAGCTTTGTATTTTTCATGGAAAATTCAAAAATCAACCGCAATCCAAACCTAGCCTTTAAGATATTGATTGTTCTGTTTATTTAATACTCCAAAACAGATCAAGCCGGCATTCACGATCCCAGATCAAGTCCGTTGTGCTGTTATTCGATATCATAGTAGACGAGTTACATGCTTGGAGTTTCACCCTACTAATAACAACATTCTTTTATCTGGTGATAAGGTTTGTGTTCTTTTGCTTTTCTCATACTCCAACTACTTTCCGTAAGCAATGGTATTTGTGTTTTGTGATTACCTTGTCTTCTGCTGTTAAAAGAAAGGGCAACTTGGAGTTTGGGATTTCGCAAAAGTACATGAGAAGATTGTATATGGAAACATACATGGTTGTATACTTAACAACTTGAAGTGAGCAATCTACTTGTTTTTTATAATCATAAACATATGTAATATTTTCTAGTGCTATACCACTGTCTCTTTTGTGCATTTTTCTGAATGAAACAAATGGATTCTCTATAGGTTCAGTCCAGCAAATGATGCATCCATATATGCTGCATCTTCAGATGGAACAGTGAGTCACACTGATATAGAGACTGGAATTTCTTTTTCATTGATGAACCTTAATCCTGATGGGTGGCAGGTGATTTTTCTATAGCCATATACAGTCTTCTCATTGCATCTCACTAATTTATACTATGTATTTTGTAACTTTGAAGAACCGCCTTATAAGGCGCAAAATACCCACTTCATTTGATTCAAATAGAGCTTTGTTGAGACATTGGATTGGATTTATTCTCTAATGGTCTTATGCCCTTAAATGACTTTTTTTCCTGTTCGTTTTCATGTCTGGTCTTAAATGTGAAGATTTCTGCTATGTTTGGATCTTTTATACAGAAGCTTATTGATTTTATCTTTTTTTGTTGGGGGGGGGGGGGGCTCAGCGCCTAGC